GGGGGGGGGGGGGGGGGGGGGGGGGGGGGGGGGGGGGGGGGCAAAGAGGCGGAGCCTGGTGAATCTGACCAACTGAGTGAAGCAGTCGCCCAGGTCTGAGAAGCCCGGATGGAGGACGCTGGATGGCGGCGCGGGAGCCGGGTAATGTGAAGAACTCTCGTGGGTTCTGCTGTGGTAGAGGCCAGACTGAGACCTGGAAGAATCTTCTGCTGCAATTGCAACAGCATGGGCGGTAAGAACAAGAAACACAAGGCGCCGGGAGCTGCGGCGGTCCGAGCCGCTGTGTCTGCTTCCAGAGCCAAATCTGCAGAGGCTGGAGCTGACGGGGAAACCCAAAGCAAGAAGCCGGGGACCAGGCCGCCTCCTGCCGCCGCTGCCATCACCCGGGAGCCCCGAGTCAAGCAAGGTACGAGGAACTCTCCACCCTGAACTTTCTACTCCTTGTCCCCAGGAAAGAACCTTCGAACCCGGGCGGACCATCATGCTAAAAATTTGTATCTCCCACACCCGGAGCTGTTAGCTCCTAGCCGCCTTTCAGATAAATCTAAGCTCTCTGAGCCTCCAGAATTCCTGCAGTAGCACTGTTGCAGCCTGACCTTTCCCTTCTAACGCACCTTTTCTTCCAAGACCAAAGTAATTGCATTTCTTGCTGTTTCAATAGGGATCCATTCTGAACCATCAACCCAGCTGGCTAGGCTAAGGCAGAGACGGGTAGTAGTGGAGTTCTACCTCCTCGTGCCTGCCCCATTTTCTTGCCTGATTTTTATCATGTTTAGTAATGATGTAGTACCCTCTATGCTCTGGAAAAATCAGTACTTAATAGGAATTACAGTACTTACACACTGAACATTGATGTAACCTATTGCAAAATTATCTTCACTCTTATTCCGCATCCTTGCATTTTTTGCTTACTCTGTACATTGGTTTGAAAACTCACCTTGGAGATGTCCAACTCCTGCTGCATATCTGCAGGCCACTATTAAGGCGATTTCAAAAGATGAAATTAATACACTGTTTCCTTCTGTTAGCTAAGCATGTGTGTATACGTGCATACACACAAATACTTAGGCATCTGGAAGGGGGGGGGGGGGAATGAAATGAGCTAAATGGAAACATTGCCTCTCCTGCAGCTTGCCAGTCAGTCTAATGTCAGAGATAGGCATAAACTAATCACACAGATAGGCATAATTGCTTTATAATTGGTAAGTGCTGCAAAGTGTGGGGAAAGTTTAATAAGATAATCTAATTTTTATGGTGAGGAGCAGGAATTGTGAATGATCTCAGAAAAGGTGACAAGCTGAAAGATCAAAAAGATGAGAAGTTAACTTGATAAGGCATGGCAGAAATAGTATTCCAAGCAAATAGTAATGAACAACATGCAAAGATTTGGAGTCAAGAACAAGCTCTTGAGGAATTCATAGAATATGAGCATTGCTAAAGAGGAAAGGAGATGAGACTAGAGAAACGGGCAGATACCAAACCTTCAGCTAAAAGGTGGGTAAGATTTCTTTACCCTGCAGTTTGTTATCTTTTAACTATAGAGTTGTTATGTTTGTCATTACCAATATGTAGAATTTCTCCTTAATTTGTGGTAATTTTACTCTCTGGATCCACATCTTGGTTTCCCTTTGTCTTTTACTGAAGTTTCTTTGAATTCTTTTAACTTTCTGATAGTCATTTGTTGTATTCTTTGACTCTTATTTCCTCCACTCTCCTCCAAAATGTGAACCTTTCCCAAGGTGTCTATCCTTTACAATATAGATCCCTCCTCCAGCTCTCTTAGGAGAGTTCACCTATTTCCATTACTTCTGTCTTTTCTTTATAGGTAATTTTCCAACATACACCAGCCTTGCTTTCAAGCACAAATTAGCCATTTCACCATTAACCTGGACCTATTTTTTGCAAGCATCTCAAATTTAACATGGCTAATACTAAACTGCTCTTTTCTCCACAAATTAACTTTTTTTCTACTTCCTTATTTCTCTTTCCACATAAGTTTTTATCCAAGATCAAAAGTAACTTTTTAAAAAAATCTATTTTTATTTGTAGATGGACACAATATTTTAATTTTGTTTATCTCTGTTAGTTTTTTTATGTGGTGCTGGGGATCGAACCCAGTGCCTCATGCGTGCTACACAAGCACTGAGCCACAACCCCAACCCCAAAAGTTACTTTTGATGCTCTCTGTTATTCTTTGCATTCAGTCTATGGCCAGGCTCTGTGAAGTCTTCACTTGCATATCTGTTCCTGTATACTCTCTCATTTTTCATGTGCTATTACACTCTAGTCTAAATAATCACAAATTCCTAGAGTACCAACAGAGTCACTTAATGGGTCTACCCAACTTTGTTCTGTTTTTCTCCTCCAGTCTCCAATATATCAGCATCAGATTGATCTTCCAAAAATGTTGCTTTGATCTTTATAGTTACCATTCTCTTCCATGGCTTCCTCACTGACTTTGCAGGAAAATCCAAATTGTTCATCTAATATTGATTGCCCAGTTTCTGTTCTCTCAACTAAAAGGCCCAGGGGTCACTCCAGATAAACTGGGCTAACTGGGCTGCACGAAATAACCACACAAGAGACACAAATACCTTTGGGGTCACTGTGACAGCTCCTCTGATCTTAAGGATCTGCAGAAAGAGACAGCGAGAGCTCAGGCTGATCCCCTTTATTGTGGAGAAGCTATTCAAATGAGGCAAGGGGTCAGGTTTCAGGAGGCTGAGTCTATCTTCATGATGTCCCCTGTCAGCAGGTTGACTGACACCTGGGTAGGCCACACCCAAGGGCACAGTAAGAGAAGGGGACACACACAAGGCGCTTCCATGGAAGATTCTATCCTAAACAGGGCAAGGGGTTATATTACAAAGGAACAGGTGAGCATAGCTTCACCCATGGGGCTGTCGCAAGACACACCCATGGACCAGACACCCACCCTTGGACCCAAGAAGGGTGGGGAAAGCTTTGCCACATTTCTGTGACAGGGCTGGGGGGTGTGACTCAGTCACGTGTAAGGTTGGTCTCCCACAATTGATGATCCTCTTTCCAGCCTTTGTATTTTTAGCTGTAGTAAATCTGGCACATTCTGTTTTGTTTTGTTTTTTTAATTTATTTTTTATTTTAATTATATTTGACAGCAGAATATATTACAATTCATATTACACATATAGAGCATAGTTTTTCATATCTCTGGTTGTATACAAAGTATATTAACACCATTTGTGTCTTCATACATGAACTTAGGGTAATTATATCCATCTCATTCCACTATCTTTTTTACCTCCATGCCCCTCCTTTACCCTCCCACCTCTTTGCCCTATCTAGAGTTTCTAATCCTTCCATGCTCCCCCTCCCAACCCCGCTATGAATCAGCTTCTTTATATCAGAGAAAACATTTGATATATGATTTTTTGGAGTTGGCTAACTTCACTTAGCATTACATTCTCCAACTCCATCCATTTACTTGCAAATGCCATGATTTTATTCTCTTTTATTGCTGAGTAATATTCCACTGTGTATATATACTACATTTTCTTTATCCATTCATTGACTGAAGGGCATCTAGATTGGTTCCACAGTTTAGCTCTTGTGAATTTTACTGCTATAAACATAATGTGGCTGTGTCCCTGTAGTATGCTGTTTTTAAGTCCTTTGGATATAGACGGAGGAGTGGGATAACTGGGTCAAATAGTGGTTCCATTCCCAGCTTTCCAAGGAATCTCCATACTGCTTTCCATATTGGGCGAACCAATTTGCAGTCCCATCAGCAATATATGAGTGAGCCTTTTCCCCCACATTCTCTCTAATACTTATTGTTGTGTTCTTTTTTTTTAATTGATTTTTTAAAATAAATAAATAAATGACAGTGGAATGCATTACAATTCTTACTACATGTGTACAGCACAATTTTTCATGTCTCTGGTTGTATATAAAGTATGTTGACATCTGGTGCATTTTTATTGCTCTAAATGAAACTATTGGTTGTCTGCCATTTTCTCTTTGTGGAATGCCATCTGTCTGTAGAACATCTATCAAAACTCTATAATACCATATTAGGTATCAACTCCTTTTTGAATTCATCCTGATATCCTTAACTATTGTGTTATGGTTGTTTATATCATTCTTTTTGACAGTTAGGTCTTGCCTTATGGTATATGAGGGATTACATATTTTATATATCCTACAAAATTATGGAATATATTTGATATGTATTAATATCTTCATCCCTAATGTTATGCAGATTGTCACTCAAAAGAATCCATGGATAGGTGATAAAGAAAAATTCAAAGAAATTATCAAAGCCAAGAAATCAAGAAAGGAAATAAAGACAAGAGGTTATCTACTAAATTTGTACAGAATTTTTTGTTTGTTTTTCTTTTTGAATCTTTTCAGATAATAGGCCTACTTTGGAGGGGGAAAAGTGGTAAGGCACTCAATTCTTTTTATTTCCTCACATAGAGAGTTGTTCCATTTCTTTGTATCTTTCTAAATACTTTGAAGGATTGTACATAGCAGAGTATATCAAAATTGTGCTGTATAAAACCATTAGTGCCATCAAATGGGCTTTTGGCACAATTTTGGGTATTCTTACCCTTTTGTTTTCTCATTTCATCAAAAAAGTTTTTGAAGAGCTACTATATGCCAGGCAAAATTTTACGCACTGGGGTACCATAAGAATAAAACATCACTGTTCTTGAGGAGCTTACATTATAGCAAGGCAAGGAGGAAAAATGGTGGGGACATTTGGGGGCAGAAGATTCTCTTCT